CTTAACTGGGGGAGCTAGGTTTGATGATACACGGAGCTAAGCCTGGAGCCTTTAGGTTAAAGGTTATAATGGAGTGGAGTGTCTCTGAGCATTGATCGGCAGCTCTAAAGCGCTTTGTTGCCCGGATAGAGAGAGACCGGCCTGTGGACAGGGTTGAGAAGAGGCCTAACTAAAAGAACTATGCCCTGAGCATTTCTGCTCCTGATTGTAACCTGGTAACTTATACTGTGTCAGCCCTGGTGTGGTGCTGTGGGGTAATGCACTAGATTGCGAAGTCAGTTTGAACTACAAGGTTGGTGGTTCAAGCTCACCAGTCGCTGCTTGGAAACCCTGTACAGGGTTGCTAGGGGTCGGAACTGACTCGATGGCACTTAACAACAAGAGCAACTTGTACTGAGTGTGGAGTTTGCGCTCTGTGTGGCAACTGCAATGAATTACTGAACCTGATGAAAAGTAGAGAGTGCGGTAGAATGACATGGTTGTTGCCACATTTTTTGCAGTGGTACAACAATACATTGATTTGATCAATTATTTGCTGTATTTCTCCTGAAAGATGAACTGAAAACCATTTTCAAAAGTAATCATGTTTATGGTTTTAGATACTTTTAAAGCATTCTTTTTTCTTTTACAGTCAAACAAAAGTTTAATTAAATTGTTTTTCATTGCAAAGCCACCTTAGCTGCTCAATTATGTAACTGGCCTCTACCCCCTTTTTACAGATACATAGTACAAGGTTCTCCAAATTGATTTCGAGATGTTTTTAGCTGATTGTCAGAGAGGCAGTATTGTCTAATAACGATTTCTATAATGCAATTTTCTTGTCCCAGCCCCATTGCAGTTAAATGACGAAAGTTGGTAAGTTGGCACCATACCAGGGAAGTTTGTATTCTTACCCTCCCACTTTCCCATTCAGTTTGTAGGCCTTGGTGTTGTTCTTGTTCAGTGCTGTTAAGTTGGCTCCAACTCATAGCAACCCTGTTAGGGTTTCCCAGGAGCAGCTGGTGGGCTTGTATCATCAATTTTGCAGTTAGTAGTCCCCTGCTTATCCTACAGTGACACATCAGGACTCCTAATTTGCTTTAGGGAAAGAAAAAAAAAAGTGTGTGTGTGTGTCTGTGTGTGTGTGTATGAAACTAGGAGTCCCTGGGTATTGCAGACAGTTAAATACTGGGCTTCTAACTGAAAGGTTGGTGGTTCGAATCCATCCAGAAGCTCCTCAGAAATCAATCCTAGCGATCTGCTTCTGAAAGGTCACAGCCATGAACACCCCATGACATACAGTTCACAGCACATGGGATTGCATGAGTTGGAACTGACTCAATGGTAAATTTTTTAAAAATCTTGGGTATGATCCTAAATGGAATTCCTGGTGTGGTGCCTTGGACTAGTGCACTGGACTGCAAAGTCACTTTCAACCATAAGGTCAGTGGTTCAAGCTCATCAGCTGCTCCTTGGAAACCCTATTATGCAGGGTCACTATGGATTGGAACCAACTCTGGCACTTAACAACAACAGTGTCACTAAATAAATTATATTTCTCTCCCTACCTCAAAATAATTTTCCAGGGATGGGAAAAAAACATTAATTAAGCACTGTCTTAGTTATTTCATACTGCCAGAACAGAAATACCATAAATGAGTGACTTTAATAAACAGAAGCCTATTGTCTCACAGTTTCAGCGGCTCCCAGTCCAGCTTCAGACTGCTGACTCTAGGGGAGATGGGTCTCTGTCAGCTCTGGAGGAAGGTCCTAGTCTCTGAGCTTCTCTGCTCCCGGGCAATCTCCATGTGGGTTGGCATCTTATTCCTGGCTTCTATTGCTTGTATAAACAATTTTTGATAAAGGAAACAAGTATAAATTGCTACAATTTGATGAACTTGACCTATACTTATGGATGTAGTAGCTCAAAATACCAACTGAAGGGGAAAGAGTCTTCACATCAAGAATCAATCCTATCCCCTCTGTATACAGGGTAAATAGGGACAGATAAATTAGACATTGGCTACCTAAAATGAGGGGGCGATAAAAGCACAAAGTGACTGGCTTACAAGTTTTCAAGAGGGAGTTTAGTTTCAGAGTGTGTGGGGAAGGTAGAGTCCCCACTGGATAGTTTTCAGCTTGTCTAGACAGGTCTAGTGAAAAGAGATGGGGATAAGATTCTTATGATTCAATAATGAGTAATTGGTATCATCACTAATTGCAGCCATCACAACTATAAAGGTATAAGTTTTATAACAAAACAGAGTAGTAGTTAATCTTACAGTCCAGAAACAGAGGACCCTAGGACCATCAAGGGAGAAGAGCACGAGAGGAATGTGAGACCCTATCTAGAGAAACAAAAGAAAACAAAAATCCTCACCAGTGGACCAATAAATAACATTCTTACCAATGGAGAAAAGATTGAAGTTGTCAAAGACTTCATTTTTCTTGGGTCAACCATCAACACTCATGGAAGCAGCAACCAAGAAGTCAAATGATGTATTGCACTAGGCAAATCTGTTGCACAAGACCTTTTTAAAGTGTTGAAGAGCAAAGATGTCAGCTTGAGGACTAAAGGTGCACCTGACCCAAGCCGTGGTATTTTCAATAACCTCATATGCATGTGAAAGCTAGACTGTGAATAAGGAAGATCATAGAAGAATTGATGCTTTTGAGTTATGGTGTTGGAGGAGAATATTGAAAGTGCCATGGGCTGTCAAAAGAACCGACAGATCTGTGTTGGAAGAAGTGCAGCCAGGCCAGAGTGCTCCTTGGAGGCCAGGATGGCCAGACTTTATCTCTCATATTTTGGACATATTGTCAGGAAGGGCCAGTCACCGGAGAGGGATATCATGTTTGGTAAGGTGGAGTGTCAGAGAAAAAGAGGAGGACCCCCAGCAAGGAGGACCCCCCAAGTGGCAGCATCAGTGGGCGCAAGCGTGACAACAATTGTGAGGTTGGCTCAGGACCAGGCGGTGTTTTGTTCTGTTGTGCATAAGGTCACTATGGGTTGGTACCAACTCAATGGCACCTAACAACAACAATCCAGAGAAGCAGCGACACCAGAGATGGAGGCAGAGAAGAGGACATGGAGAGAGAGGGAGCAGCTGAGGACTCTAGACTCATGGAAAGAGAAAGACTGAGTGCTGGTGGCCAGGAGGCAGGCTTGCAGAATGTGCCCTTTGGTTGTTTTAATTATTATATATTCCTGAGTGGTTTTGTGTAACACGCCACCCCCCCCCCAAAAAAAAAACACAAAAAAACACCAAACAACAGCAGAGGGAATAAAAGTACATACTGTTGAATGATGATGCATGGAGGAGATTATAATCATAGCAATGATACAATGGTGTAAAACTGATGGTATCCCATGTAAACTTTCATTTAGTTCACAATATTTTTAAAAAAATGAATGAGAAGTCCACCAAAGATACTCAACTGGGAGAGCATTGGACTGACTGACTACCTAAGAGTCCCTGGTTACATCTGGAGTTTTGGTAGCTTTGTAATATCCCAATAAAGCATTAAAAAATGAGTCAGACACAGTACCTATAATAGGGAGATCATGAATATGGATGGAAGGCAGACAAAATTAATATTACTCTGTTACAATACAGTAAATGCTGGCATAAAAGATAAATGGTGTTTGTATGCCGTCGAGTCGATTCCAACTCATAGTAACCCTATATAAGGTTTCTGAGGCTATAAATCTTTAGGGAAGCAGAAAGCCTCATCTTTCTCCCGTGGAACAGCTAGTAGTTTCGAACAGCTGACCTTGACGTTAGCAGCCCAACTTGTAACCAGTATGTTACCAGAGCTCCTAAAAGATAACTAGAGGAGGAAATAGGATCAGGTTAACAAGAAAGCCAACTCTGCAGCACTTAACAACTGGGTGGGTAGAGAATTCAAGTGCACAGACATGGAAGAATGCCCCAGCATAGAAGCTGCCTGAGCATAGGTCTGAGCATCTGTTGAGTGTGCCTAGCACAGCACTCACTTTTGGTGCACTTCCAGCCTAAGGAAATGGGAGTGAGGTGAGAGAGATGGCTGGAAAGTGAGATTGGAGCTAGATGGTGAGGAGAATTCTATGTACCCAATGGAGCCCTGGTGTGGCACTGTAGAATGAGCATTGGACTGCTAACCACAAGGTCAGCAGTTCAAACCCACCAGCTGCCTCTTGAAAACCCTATATAGTGTCACCATGAGTCAGAACTGACTCGATGACAGTTAACCAAGAACAGGAGTTTGGACTTTATTCTTTTAGCACCGGGGACTTGTCTTAAGCTTCAAGGAAAATGATAAGGATTAGATGTGTTTTATAAATTCTGGTAATATTATGTGGAGAATGATTAAAAACCATGTTTCTGAAATGATGAGCCATCTAATGTGTACTGTTTCCACCATTATCGGACAGCATTTGGACTTATGAGTTAGGTGAGTAGGAAGAAGAAGAAGACATAGTGATGAATTGAATTTTTTATACAGGTAACGCTCATAGTTTTGGGGTACTGTGGGAGCTTTCTACACTTTTGATAAGATTGTTATCAGATTGTCATTTTACATTGACAATACAAGTGTACTTGCTAATAGCAGGCCCTTTCCCCCTTCCCTTCTAATATATGTTGTTGTTGTTTTCACATGCTGTCAAGTTGGCTCCAATCCATAGCGATCTTGTGTAGGGTTTCTGAGGAGCGGCTGATGGTTTGAACTGCCAACCTTGTGTTCAAACTGACCTTGCAAGTCCAGTGCATTATCCTATTGCATCACACAGGATATAGCTGCATAAATGTCCAAATAAACAAGTCTGGGGCTGATCCATGAGTACAGTATGTGATCCACAGTGAGTCTGGTTGGAGATACCCATTCTGATCCTTTGAAGACCTGTTTTCTGGTCCAATATAGCTGAGCTATCCAGCGGCTTCATATAAGTGATGTATAACTGCAATTTGTCTACAGTATCATACATAATCACTCATTCTGAAACATTTAAATTTTTTTTCTTTTGATGTAGGTGAGTGGAGTTTCAGCAAGTCAGCAGTATGTTACCCGCCAACAAGAAGCTCTTCACTTGATTGCACCATGGAAAAACTGCTAAGGAGACTGGCTGAGCACAGAAATGGACTTGTAGGACCGAAAGCCATTGTTTTGAAATGAAGAATCCTGGACAGTGTTAAGCCTCAATGCTCTGTAACCAGCACTGAGATTTGCCCGAGCACCTCAGCATGGCCAGCAGGCGCAAGTCAACAATACCCTGCATGGTCCTTGCCAGTGAACAGGATCCAGACCTGGAGGTGGTATCAGATGTGGAGGAAGCGCCTCCTGTTCTAACACCTGTGGAAAACGCCAGAGCAGAGAGTCTCTCAAGCGATGAAGACGTTCATGAGTCTGTGGATTCTGACAATCAGCAACATAAAAAAGTGGAAGGTGGCTATGAATGTAAATATTGTACTTTTCAAACTCCAGATCTAAATATGTTTACTTTTCACGTGGATTCAGAACATCCCAATGTTGTGCTAAATTCCTCCTATGTGTGTGTTGAATGCAATTTTCTTACCAAAAGGTATGATGCACTTTCTGAGCATAATCTGAAGTATCATCCGGGAGAAGAGAACTTCAAGTTGACTATGGTGAAACGTAACAACCAGACAATCTTTGAGCAAACCATAAATGATCTGACTTTTGATGGTAGTTTTGTGAAAGAGGAAAATTCAGAGCAAGCAGAATCTACGGACATTTCTTCATCAGGAATATCTATTAGTAAAACTCCTATCATGAAAATGATGAAGAATAAAGTGGAGAACAAACGGATTACAGTTCATCATAACTCAGCTGAAGATGTTCCCGAAGAGAAAGAGAATGAAATAAAACCAGATCATGAAGAAATTGTAGAAAAACCAAGTTCTTCAGCCTCTGAGTCTAATATCAGTACTTCCATTATGAACAGAATACATTCAAATACCGCAAGCACGGTAATGGCCCCCGCAGCAGTCCTTCCTGGGTTAGCACAGGTCATAACTGCCATGTCAGCCCAGCAGAACTCCAACTTGATTCCCAAAGTCTTAATCCCGGTCAATAGCATTCCTACCTACAATGCTGCATTGGATAACAACCCCCTTTTACTTAACACCTACAACAAATTTCCCTATCCCACAATGTCAGAAATTGCCGTTCTTTCTGCCCAAGCAAAATACACAGAGGAGCAGATCAAGATCTGGTTCTCAGCCCAGCGTCTCAAACATGGTGTTAGCTGGACTCCCGAGGAAGTAGAGGAGGCAAGGAGAAAACAGTTCAATGGAGCGTTACACACTGTACCTCAGACCCTAACCGTGATCCCCACACACATCTCCACAGCGAATAACGGTTTACCATCCATTTTACAGACGTGCCAGATTGTAGGGCAGCCAGGTCTGGTTCTCACACAGGTAGCTGGAGCAAACACCTTACCAGTCACAGCTCCAATCGCTTTGACAGTGGCAGGAGTCCCAAATCAAACCAATGTGCAGAAAAGTCAGGTACCTGCTGCTCAGCCTGTTGGAGAAGCAAAGCCGGCAGCGGCAGCAGCAGTAACAGTTCCAGCTTCGCAGCTTGTCAAACATGAAGCCACCTTGCTAAACCCTGACTCATTTGGCATTCGAGCAAAAAAGACTAAAGAGCAGCTGGCAGAATTAAAAGTCAGCTACCTTAAAAATCAGTTTCCCCATGATTCAGAAATTATCCGACTTATGAAAATCACCGGCCTAACGAAAGGAGAGATTAAAAAATGGTTTAGTGACACCAGGTACAACCAGAGAAACTCCAAGAGTAATCAGTACCTGCATCTCAACAATGAGTCCTCGGCCACCATTATCATAGACTCCAGTGACGAGACCACCGAGTCGCCACCGGGTGTTGCTTCACAGCCCAAACCAGCCTGGAATTCTCTTCCCGACTCAACACCACACAAGTTTAAAGAAAAGACTGCAGAGCAGCTTCGGGCCTTGCAGGCCAGTTTTCTCAACAGCTCCGTGCTTACAGAGGAAGAATTAAATAGGCTAAGAATGCAAACCAAACTTACCAGAAGAGAAATTGATGTTTGGTTCACAGAGCGGAATAAATCGAAAGCTTTAAAGGAAGAGAAAACAGAAATAGATGAGGGCAATGCCGGCAGTGCCAAAGAAGAAGCTGGAGAACCTTCTCCTGGGGAAGAATCTGGTGCCCCTAAGCCCGCGAGCACAGGCAAGATGTGCAAGAAATCCCCTGAGCAGTTACACATGCTCAAGAGCGCATTTGTCCGAACACAGTGGCCGTCCCCAGAGGAGTATGACAAGCTGGCCGAAGAAAGTGGGCTGGCTAGAACAGACATCGTCAGTTGGTTTGGGGATACCCGTTATGCTTGGAAAAATGGAAACTTGAAATGGTACTACTACTACCAGAGCGCCAACTCCAGTGGCCTGAATGGTCTATCTTACCTTAGGAGGCGAGGGAGAGGGCGACCCAAAGGCAGGGGACGAGGTGGCCGGCCGCGTGGGCGGCCTCGGGGAGGCAAAAGAATGAACTGGGACCGGACGCTGCCCCTAATAAAGTTCAAAACTGGAACTGCAATACTTAAGGATTATTACCTGAAGCACAAGTTTCTGAACGAACAAGACCTTGACGAACTTGTGAACAGATCGCACATGGGCTACGAGCAGGTCAGAGAGTGGTTTGCAGAAAGACAGCGGAGGTCCGAGTTAGGCATGGAGTTATTTGAAGAAAACGAGGAGGAGGAGGAGGAAGAGGAGGACGTGATTGACGATCAGGAAGAGGATGAAGAAGAAACAGATGATAGTGACACTTGGGAGCCCCCCCGGCACGTGAAGCGGAAACTTTCCAAATCAGATGACTGAAATGTAAGTTTTTCATCTGAGTCTCTATTGATCGGCCATTGACATTTAGAAGAGCCATCTGTGTTAGTCATCTTCCCTTTTGGTCATTTTTCCTAAAATAGTTTTCCCTTTACCTAATAAGAAGACTGGGGGCCACTAGGATAGCTAACAGCCTATGAGCAGATCACCGTGCAGTTTGAGTATTATGATTTATTGTGTCTGTTTTATGTCGCGTTTACTGTTGGTTTAATTGTTCTCCCTCTGATATGTGTTTTACTTTGCTCTAAGGGAGACTGGTGTCGGGGCAGGGCAGAATTCCCAAACAAAAACTAGAGATAACAAAAATGTATTTCTTGCAACCCTCCCTTCACTAAAGCTTCATTTTTTTGCCTGTTTAAGAGAATTCAAAAATGAAAACTAAAAAGAAGGGGAAAGTATACCGAAGGGAAGACTTACCAAAGGGTGAGGTTTGCTCAGTTTTAGGAAAACTACGTGAAAATGGGTATCTTTGTTTTTTTCCTTCATTGTATTTCAGGATTTACTAAACCCTAAATGTTTGCTTGCCTGCCCCTACCCCAGCATTACCAGATTTTCAGCTAGAGTTTAAAATGCTTTATGTATTAAAAAGTATTTGATATTTTTTCTATTAAAAAGCCAGAGGTCTATTCTAAGCCATACATAAATTCATGTTTGTTTAGGTGACATCTGTTTTTGAAAACTGTGATATAAATTATTTCGATCTAAGAGATCAGATGCTGCAATTACAAGGTAAATAACAGATTTGATATTAAATTAGTGCCACTGCTTAAAACATCCTTTCATTCTTGAAATATAAAACAAACCGCTACTAGCGGATACACTGCGTTTGGTGAAAACTCCATCTTTCTAATCAGAAAAATGAAAGTTAATGTGCTTTAAATGTGAAAGATTGTGGCATGTTCCTTAAATCTTAATTATTTTATAAATGGGGATATGTAAAAGTATAACTGTAGTTACAAATCAAAGACCTGGTTTGGAATTAGGACCTTCAGTTCTTAATGGCACAGATCTCTTCTCCTCCCAGATAATGTACACATTTTGAAAACAATCCTGTTGTCATGGAAAGGCTGTTGTGTGTAGATCAGTAGTTCAGGTAGCATCTTGCTCTTAGAAACTCCTGTGGTGTTTTCAGCAGAGAAGGAGCAAACGAGGCCCAGGCCTTGGATGATTTGTTTACATATGAACGTATTATTTCCTTAGCTTCGTGCACCCAGACCCCATTCTTTTCTTCTATGCTCTTTTATCCATGTGCACTATTTCCTTGACTCCCTCTTGTCTTCATCCTTGGTTGTATTTATTTGATCTTATTTAACAAATATTTATAGAGAGCTCAATCTGTGACAGGTATTATTCTTACTGCTCAGCAGTCCTGCCAAGGTTATTTTGTTTTTGTTTTTAATTAAGTTTTGTTTTTTTTCCCCTTCTGGCAGAAAAACAGATGAAACTAAAAACATACCTATTTTAATAAGCGGTATGAATCTCATTCCAGGGTATAGATCATAATGTAACCATTCCAAATGTCAAGGAGCTCGTGATTCTGTACAGCTGAATCCCAAAGAGAAGCCCTGCCTTTCCTAATGCCCGAAATCGTCAGGACAGCTTCCTTCTGACCTAGATGCAGAAAAGAGTTTTAACAAGCATTATTATTATTATTATTATTGCTAAGCACAAGAATGTGTACCCGGCTGAGATTAAATCAACAAATTTGTTGCCGAATGAATTTTTGTTGCTCTCACAGTAACCTCTGCCGTGTCTCGGTGGGGAGTTGGGCTCTTCTGAAAATCATGTGAAACTTCTGTATGCCTTAGTTTGACGATACCTTAAGTCTGTATGAATAGCTCTTATGTTACATTTAGCTATGATAATGGGTATCCATTATGGTCAGAAAGTTCACAGAAAGATGCGTGTATATCATACACATGATTCATGCAATTTGTGGAATGTCTTGTTTTTTGAAATACGCAAAAGTCAAAATTTATAAAACATTAATTTGTACATTACCATTGGCATAATAAAATAATTTTTCATCTTGAAGAATTCACCTTAAGTTTCTTCTAACTCGTTACTTGTTCATTGAAATATGGTTCAACTTGCAAAAAACTGAGCAGACAACAAACCCAAAACCTTTCCAAAATAGTTGTAGAAAATGAGATATATCTTTTGAACATGACTGCCTTGTATATAGAAAATACAAGATTTCACAGATTGTTTATTACAGATACTGATGGTGAAATATGTACTTCCTGCTAATTTTTCTCTAAATTATAATCTAAGGTGACACATGTCTATAAGCAAAGTTGGTAGAGGCAGAACATATATATGTAAGAATCTAAACAAAGTCTAGTGCGTTATGTACACGAGATGTACATAGCAAGTGATCTCAGTTTTAATAAGAAAATACAGAGGATATATTTTCATGGCTAACTTGTCTCTGTTTTTGTTTCTAAAAGTGGTAAAAATGAAAGTGTGATTTTCTTCAAAATTTCAGTTTTTATAATGTGTTTCTTTTATAGCTGCCTAAAGCGTTGAAGGAGAATCAGTTCTTCAACTCAAGATGTCTGATTTACTGTGAATGGGCCCAATCTTTGATGCAACTGAAAACATTTGGGGCATATACACTCTCAAACACTAGGATTCAATACCCAAAAGAAGTGGAACTTAATGTATGTTGTGCCAAAGTTAAACTACTCCAGCTGGCGGAAGTTCTGCAATGTAAATAGAACACTAATTTAAAAACACCTTGTAAAATTTCAGATTTTAATACAGCACATTTTTATTCTGTTATGATGGAGACATTCGGCTTCTTAGACGTTCTGAAGGGGTTTGATGACCACTCGAGCTGGTGCTCTTATTTTTTGTCCAGCTTAATACTGTATGTCTTTTAAGATGGGCTCTATTGCCTGTATTCTCTGATATGTGATTAAGCTTATAGCTTTGAGTGACCAAACATTTTACAAAGTAAAAATTGTTAGACACAGAAAGAAAACCTGATTTATTTCTGTTTTATTTACAGGCCCCAGCACTAAGGTTAAAAACTGTGCATGGGTTTATATCATTTCAGTGTAAGTGGATAAACAGCCTATTGACATGTTTTGGAACAGTAAGGTTGTGTAGTAATACAGGTCCTTAATGATTGGCGCTTACATTGAACACATTCATGGATGCTACTATTACTTCTTGTAATACTTCTGTTACTTTTGTTGGTAGGAGGTGAATTTTTCTTTTCTTTTCTTTTTTATTAAACTAAAGATAATACCGAAGAAGGAAGAGAAACTGGCATATGAATTTGCATAGGGAGAGACTCTGAAATAAATGTACCAAAAATGTGAAAAAGAATCATATATTAAATGTATACTTAGTGCTGTATTTTGTTTTGTTTTGAGTTTTTAACAATCATGTGGCTCTCAGAAATATTTGTACAGGTGTCACCTCAGAATTTACAAGAATTATCTTTCAGCAAAATTGGTATAGCAACTTTGGTTGTGAGTTAAGTTAGCATTTCACTTAAGAATCATGCAAGTATTAACTGTTAACTGCTGCCATACCAGGAGAATGAGAGTGCTTACTAACTTATTTGTAAAGACCGGTGCTGTTCATTCAGGCCAAGAAGGACCGTTTCTTTTGTGATTATAGGACCATTTTTCAAAATGTACTTTCTTCTGGAAGCAATGTTGAGTTTCATTCACTTTGGATTTTAAAAAGTTTTTTTTCTGAATGATCAGATGTAGTAGGCTTGGCCAGTTTATTTGATCTAATTTAATGAATAATAAATACCAAGCTCTTGGTTTTTATCTAAATGTTTGTCAGCTAATGAAAATGTTATGGAAAAGCCTTGAAAATGTGCATGCTGCTTTCATTTTTATGAAAATTTCCTTTTTTAACTATAGCTTTATTAGTAATTCCAAAATGCTTCACTCTGACAGCTGGCTTTGTGGGTGGCTTTTTTCATACTACTGTTAACTATTTTTTTTTTTTTTTAAAGAAGCAATGTAAAGACTGTAACTATTTAATGCACTAAACCCTTTTTTTCTTTTACACGTTTAAAAACTTCTTAAAGCACTCTGTATTATAATGATTAAATCGCTCCCTTTTTTAAAACCATTGCTAATGTGGTCTGAGTTTTGTTTGCCAATGATTTTAGTGTTTTCAAAATTAGAAATGTCAGGTATTGGAACTGAAGCCGTTGGAAATATTTATACTGTTTCCCTTTCCGTGGGTTCACTCTGTCTAATAGAAAGTGAGCTCCCCCATCGCTCAGAGCTCGGCACTTAATTCTGCTCTGACATTTGCTAGCCTTTAAATCTATTTCCTGACAGAGCAAAAGAACCCTCCTCTGCTGGTTGACGGTGCCCTTGAATACAAAATAAAAGTTAACAGTGCTTCATAGTTGTCAGTGAGTGATTCCCTCCTCCCTCCCCCATTTTAGTAACTGAGTCAGTTTTTAAGAAACAGCTTAGTGGGCTTATACGTGCATTCATGCTTGTAGCTTTCCACTTGTAACTCAGGTAATTGAGCAGCGAGTTTTCACATCTCCAAATTAGGAAAATAAGAATTACCAGAAATTTTAGTGCTTAACATTCCTCTGGGTTCTTAGAATCTTTCCACATTTCCATAAATACCTCTGACTTAAAAGATTCTGAGCACATTAGAGAGTACTCTTTCACATTGTGCCTCTGTGTGTGTGTGTGTGTGTGTGTGTGTGTGTGTGTGTGTGAACGTGCACTTTACAATGTTCAGGTGTGGCAGGTGCCTGTGGAGACCCTCCCGCCCACTCTCCCTGTCTGGGGATCACAGGTCGTGTCTCACCATCATCACTTTTATTTGACTTCTTGGTTGTAGCTGGTTCTTTTAAGTAGACCAGTGGTCCTCAAAATGTGGTCCCCAGTCTTCACCGCCCCCACCGCAACCCCATGAAACAGACACTCAAGTGAGACCCAGCAACCAAGCCCACCAGGTGGTTCTGATGCAGGCTAGCATCTGAGAATTGGACACCTTAAACTCCAAGTGAATGTACAATGAAGCAAAAAGAAAAAAACATTACAAGGGCATAATGCTCATCGGGACTCCTGGTGTGGCGCTGTAGGATCAACACTGGACCGTGACTACATGTCGACAGTTCAAATCCACCAGCTGCTCCTTGGAAACTCTATACAGGGTTTTTATAAGTCAGAACCAATTCTACGGCACTTGACAACAACAACAATGCTCATGGGAATAGCAAACACAAACTCATGAGATTAAGCTCACATTTCTCTAAACTTCTTTTGAATTTATATTTCTCTATCGGTGTTTACTGTTCAATCCCGTATTATATTCAGTGGAATCCTGGTTTGGCTCTGTGGGTTAATGTGCTGGACTGCAAAGTCATTTGAACCGCAAGGTCAGTGGTTCAAGTTCACCAGCTGCTCCTTGGAAAATCTATAAAGGCTCGATATGGGTTGGAAATGACTCGATGGCAATTAACAACAACAACATAGTCAGTGATGTGTTCACTAGGTATTCAATATTTTCCACATACTAGGTGCAAGGTTCCTGGTGTGGCACTGTAAGATAAGCACTGGACTGCTAACTGCAAGGTTGATGGTTCAAACCCACCAGCTGTACCTTGGAAACCCTATACAGGGTGGCTGTGCACTCAGCAACAACAAGGTGCGAGGTTGCTTTGATTGAAAGGCTGCATGAATGGGCTTTCTCCTATGTCGGCTCTCCCCGACGGTGTCACCTCCAGGTTCTTGTCCCTGCTGCCCTTCACCACTACCAATCACTGTCATTGAATGGATTCTGGGTTTCTGAGGCTATAAATCATTTCTGGAGCAGAAAGCCCCATCTTTCTCCATTGGAGTTGTTGGTGTATTTGAACTTGGGGTTAGCAGGGCAATGCCTAATCCACTGTACCACCAGGGCTGAGCTAGTCAATACTGTCTGTTTTCCCCACCCACAAGCCTCCCTGTATTTTATCTTCCAGGTCTTGATTTAGGCCTTTACTCAGCACTTGTCACATTTGACTCTACGCACCCTTTAGTTCATTGTTGTTAAGTGTCGTGGAGTCGTTTCTGACTCATAGTGACCCAGTATGGGGTTTCCGAGGAGCAGCTGCTGGGTTTGAACTGCCAACCTTGTGACTAGCTGTCCAGTGCTTATCCTTACTTAGATTATATTATTCTGCTATCACTTTAAAGGCAGAAACCACGTTTTTGTTGATTTAGTTTGTTGGGTACAGGCATACCTCTTTTGATCCCACTGCATTGTGCTCCACAGATACTGCAGTTTTTTCAAATTGAAGGTTTGTGGTAGCCCTGCTTTGAGCAAGTAAGTCTACCAGTACCATTGTTCCAGGTGGAATTTCATGTCTCTGTGTCACCTTTTGGTCATTCTTAACAATATTTTAAACTTGTTCACAATACTATTGCCCACTTAGTAGACCACCCACCACTGCTGTAGAGTCAGTTCTGACTCAGAGTGACCCTTGGGGACAGGAGAACTGCTTCCTAGGGCTTCTGAGGCTGTAAATCTTGACAAGAGCAGACAGCCTCAGCTTTCTCCCTTGGAGCGGCTAGGAAGTTCCAACTGCCAACCTTGTGGTTAATAACCCAACACTTAACACGCTGCACCACCTGAACTATTTTAATAGACTACAGTCTAGTGTAAACATACCTTTCATATGCACTAGAAACCAGAGGTTTGATGTGATGCACTGGGGGTTTAGGTCATTGACTTATGTGTTCATTCAGGCATCACATACTATAAGATTTGTTGTCTGCCTGCTTGCCTCCTGTCTCCAGCCCTCTCCGTCACTCTGCCCCCCACTTTTACCTTGCAGCTCTTCCTCGGTGTGCCGTATTTGAGCTCCAGATGCCCCTAGGACCAGCTCCTCATTCTAGCTCCGTCGATAGGTCACCTCTCCAGAGGGGCCGTTCTCAGTTACACTGCCTAAAGTAGCCTCTGTCTCATAATCACCCTTTCAACTTTATAACAGCATGATCTAACATTTCCTTGTTTATATAGTTACCTGTCGTGTTTGGTCTCCTCACCAGAACTTAAATGCCATGAGAGCAAAGATGTGATCTGTCATTTTCACCACTGTATCCTGCTTCCATCTGAAACAGTGCTTGGCTTAGAATAGATACTCAACAAATTTTAGTTGACTAAATGAATGCACCTACCATAAAATTTATACAGTTATGGCAAGGAAATGAGTGTGCTTGGAACGTTCATCTAAGTTGGTAGACGTCCATGAGAATTTGTGGATAAGACTCATGCCTTCAGTGAAAAGGTATATTTGGTTCAAAATAAGCAGAAAAAGATGGAAAAGGCATGTTACAGATTCAATTGTGGCTCCCTCAAAGAGATGCTGATGTTCTAACCCCTGGTACCCGTGAATGGGGACTTGTTTGGAAATAGGCTTTTAAAAAGTCCTGGTTTAGGCAGAGACAATGACATGGAGCGATGGGGCAGCTGGAGGCTTTAGATCCAGAGAGGGAGAGCAACTGTGTGCTGAAAGACTGGGGGGAGGGGGATAGTGTAGGAGGCAGGCTTGCAGGGTATACCCTTTGGTTGCTTGATGATGCATGGAGGGGATTGTAACCATGGCAATGATACGCTGTACGATAGAATGAATTTAAAACTAATGCTCTCCCATGTAAACAATCATATAATTCACAATAAAACACTAAAAAAAAAAAATCCAAAAAACTCCTGGTATGGCACTA